AGGCAAGTATTTGACAGCCTCCCTACCCTCAGCTCCCACCAGCTGTTTTTGCCCCTTGTCCAGGCTCTGGTATAAGAGGATTTGGAGCCCACCAGCTCCCACCTATCCCATCTGCCTCGCACTTCAGCCCTATCTCTGAATGTTCCCGCTAAATCCTATTGCCCTGCCACAGCCTGTTTGCGCTGTTAGTGCCTCACCAACCCCTTTAATCTCGGGTAAGCGGTGTGTGGCCGGACCCGCCCCGAGCCCGGCCCGCGGCCCGGCCCCGTCCCTGCCCGCAGGTGGCGCTGCTGCAGCGGCCGCGCCGGGCCCCTCACGCGGGAACAGCGGTAAAAACACAGCAAAAGCGAAATAATTTTTCACTGACGGACGTTTCTTCTGCGGAAAACGAGCAAACAAGCAACGAGCCGCGGTGTGAGGCCCGGGGACAGCGCTCCCACAGAGGAGCGAGCTGTGGCCGCCCGGACTCAGCGCTGGCACCGAACGGAGCCCGCCGGGCGTGGGAAAACTCGTGGGCTGTGGCTCAGGGTCGGGGCACGGCTGAGGAGGGGTCGGGGCATCCCCATGGCTAAGGTGATCCGATGTTAAGACAGATAAATTTCATAGCCCATGACTTTTGTCTCTGATAACGCCTTCATCCTGCAGGATGAGGAGTTCCTGGAGGAGGGCGCGGGGAAGGATGTCTGCCGCTGCCTTCCCGGGGGTTTCTGCCGGAGAGCCCGGTCCATCCCGGCTGTCAGAGCGACAGTGCTTAGGAACGGCCTGCGAAGGGGATACACAAGCCACCAGCCACACTCGGGTGAGGTTTGTGCCTGATGGGAGATCAGAGGACAGCTGCAGCCATTTCAAACAAGCAGCTCGGTTTATTTTCTTGCCCTGCCTTCACATAATTGAGTTTTTGGTTTCCCTTCTCAGCTCGATGTCTTTGCTTCACCACTCCACAGCTATTATGAACTCCTTCAGTTATTTACACAGTTCAAATGTACCGACACTGCCTAAAAAATCCTCAGGGCAGAGTTTTAGGAAATTGGTCAGAAATCTTAGATACTGAGTCATTGGGGATGGGTTGAACTTTGCTTTTTTTCTTCCAGCTGCCTGCTGTGTGTTTGTCAGATATGAATTGAACTAAGAAAGGGTCTTGGAGTTCAAACGCCTTCCCTGCTGCAGCGAGGTGGAGCATGGCACAGGATGCAGCTTATCACAGATAACAGCTGTGTGTATCAGGGGTCTCCGCTTCCCTCTCCCATGCTGCTTGCTCGGCTCCCTGCCTCTCCCGCACAGAGTGCAGGGAGGTCGGGGGTAGGGTATGGTTTTCAGACCCATTAACAGCTAGCTCTTCAGCCAGCTAAAGTCAGTGTCACAGGGCACATCCTGCTGATTCAGCAGCAGAGGGCAGTTCCTATCTCAGGGGGAAGAAGAATAAAAAAGATAAATCTGTTTTGCCGTAGGAGCCATGAGTTACACCTTTCAACCTCGTCTGGGTGAAATGCGGGCCTATATTACAAAACTGTACTGCTTTACTCACTGCTAAAGCAGTGTAATTTCTAAGCCATCAATAAAACTGTACAGATATAAAAGTAGTCCCTAACAGTTTCAAACCACTGAACTTGAGCTGCAATAGACACTCCGCTCCATAGAGCAGTGTGCACACCAAGCTTTGAGGGTTTGAAAGGTTGAGGGCAGGGGGAAAATTTGGTACTCAGATCAAAACCATGAAAAATAACTTTTGGGGTGGGGAGAAAATGGGGTTTTCAAAGACCATTTCAGAAAGTTTGAAATTATTCCACAATTCTTTCATTATTCCTACTCCTCCCAAATACTCTTTTTAAGTCTTATCAAAAACATTTTCCCAGAATTATTAAAACACCAACACCATAGCCAATAATATTTTGATAATAAAAATGCAATAAAAGGCACAATGTTCTCAATGAATATTGCCTTATTGCAAGAGTTGACACCATCCACAAATTTTGTTTTTCACTTGTCTGAGGAAATAAAGGATGATTTTTACATAAGGAATGCTTCTGTTTAAAATCTGTCCCAGGAACTTGGCCTCTGTTTCACTGTCCTGACTCACTTCCCTGCAGTGACTGTGACCCTTGGGGGCAGGGGAAAGGGTTCTGTATTTTTGGCATGGTGCTGATATCCTTAAGGGGACCTTTGGCTGAAGTGATGGAATTGTATGAGAGCTGTGTAGGGTAAAGGAGGATGTTGCAGAAACAAGGAGGTGTGTCTGCACTGAGAGGCACAAGGTGCTGAAAAGCAATGCATAAGGAAAAAAATGTTTTGTGGATACTTTTCAACCTCAGGCATTCAAGAGGAGAATGAGAAGGGAAGGAAATAAGAAAAGCAGCATATCATGAACTGAAGAGAGCAGTGACATTTTACAGCAGCCGAAGATCTCCTCCACAGTGTTTGTACTCCTTTCATGTGGTGTTATCAGAGCTCTTTGCAAGAGTTTATTATCGTGTTCTCCCAGACAGCAAGCAGACAGCCATCCTGTCACCCACATCCTGAGTTTTACAGCCCTCCTTGTCCTGTGCCATCTGGGGTATTTATAGTGTGACCCACCACTGAGAGAGCAGAGGACTTCCTTTATGCTCCAAACATTATGCTACAATAATAATGAGAAACTGGGACAAATGACAAGCTTTCCTGCCCAAAAATGTCATAACCCTGCCACTTCAAATGACATGAGCTGGCTAGGTCATCATGCTCTTTGCTCAGTGGGTTTCAGGTTACTGGTTGTTGTTGCTACTATGGTGAAACACAGGCTAAAGGCTGTACCTGGGGCAGTACATGGAATGAAAGTTTAAACACTTTGCAGACTAAATGGAGTAGGAAGGGGGTAAGAGAAGAAGCTGAAGCTCCCTGGAAACACCTGTCCACCCAGCCCTTCCAAAGACTGGCTGTGAAATCATGGCAAATCAAGCAACAGCTACCCTGTAAGTACCCTTGCAGAGCAGCAGTGTAGCACCTCAGAGATTTTAGGGGTTTTCTCTTTCTTTCCCCCCCACTTTTTTTTTCCCCCTCAAACATTTGCCATAATTTGATTATGGTAAATGTTTGAGGGATCAAGGGAGTTGGTTTCCTTCCTTTCTGCAACATCTCATGAGGTATCACACTTCTACAGGCTGGCACCTCACTGCATAAATGGTGCAAAGCGATTCCCCAGGGGGCTGTTTTCCTTTCCTCTGGAGAAAGGAAAGATTAAAAGCAGAATGCAGAGAGAGATAATACAGTTTTAATTGAACCTGGTAACATACCATTGTTACCCAGAAAGGTCAAACAAAGGGGCTGTGAGAGGTCAGTGGGAGAGATAAAGAAGATGAGGTGTGTGTTGAGTAAGATAAGAGCTAAGGGTCTTATGTGATTAGCCAAGGGTCAGGCATCTGTGCTAGTGTGGCAAAGAGTGAATTGGTGGCTCTTCAACTAGTGCTGGAGAGGTGGTGAAGTGAAGCCCTGCAGCTGGGAGGGTTTTGGGTTGACTTGACAAGAAACCTTCTGAGTGAGATCTGAGCAGCATTTGCTCACCCTTAGCCACCACTACACTTCCCACTGACTTACTTTGCAGACCAGGGTGGGCCTGAACACCTAAAGATTTGTCTGGAGGGAGCATAGACTATGTCCCTGTCTCTGCCTGGTGGCAGGAAGCAGAACATCTGCCTACCTGAAGCATACCATGAAAGTGCTGGCCAGGTAACATCCAAGAGCAAAAGTGAGAGATGGGTCCCTGCTGGTGCAGGACAGAATCAGCCTTGATACAGCTGCCCCCTCTGCAAAGAGGGTGGGTGTGGGTAGGTGTAAGCAAGTGCAGGAAGGTCTCTGCCCTTATGCCTTCACCTTTCCTGTGTGGGTTCCCCAACATATGGCCAGCCCCTTGCTTTCAAATGTCAGGCCTCAGAGCAACAGGACAGTTTGGACCCTGGGGACTTCTAAGGCTGAGAGCAAATGGGCCCATTCTGTTGTGTACATGACTACTTCTAGAAAAAGTAATGAACAATATGTTGGAATTGATGCAGGCATCAAAACTAAGGTGAAGAGTAGAAAGAAATGAACACCTGCCCTCTCCTACCAGCAGGGAAAAAAAAAAAAAAAAAGGTAGGAAAATTGGTTTCTAGACTCAAATTGAATGAAAGATGACATTATGTTGCACTAGAGATTTTTATGATTCAAGCAGGTGGGGACAAGAGTTTATAGTGAGATCAGGTTGGCTGGATGATGAAAAGAAAATGAGAGTAAAACTGCCACAATGATTTCCATCTTCAGCCTACCCAGATCTGTTGGGTCTTTTGTTCCACAGGGTTGTTGGTAACAGGTATCAGGATTAATCGATTGCTTGTACACAGCAACACATGTGAACGTGACATGTAAGGTCTAACTTTCTTGTGACAAAAGACAGAGCTGCACATTCTAGCCATAAGCGGCCTACACTTCTGCCTGAAAAAAAAAAAAAAAAAGACTTTTTTTATATTAACTTGATAACTTAGTTCTCTTGAAGTCCTATCAGCAGAGATACAGAGCATGCCATTCTTTACTGCAACACAGCCAAAGTAAACTATCCCAGTGCCATATCAACTTTTGCAAAGGGAGGGAAAACCACTTACATGGAGTGGAAAGTGCTCTGACACTCTTTGGTTTGCCCAGTGCAGATGGCTGGTTGCCAGGCAGTAAAGAAGGAATTGACTCTTGCACAGAGGCAGAACATACCCTGTAAGTAGCAAACAAACAGAACACAACTTGGACATGAGTGACCTACAGTCTGTGCTGATCTGAGAAACTGCGGATGTGGAAAACAATTCTTTAAAGTAAACATGATTTCTGTACCTGATGCTGTAACAGGTCAGTCATGACGCCAGGTTTGGAAGCAGCAGTCCCCTGGAGAATACTGCAGCCTTTTAACACTTCACCAATACATTTATCTTTCTTGAAGGCAATGCAAACATCAGAGCACATGCTCCATTTTACCCCATGATAACAACATCAACATCACAGAGGAGTGTACCCATGCAAAATCTTTATTTGGAGAATGTCTCCTCTTGAATAACAGCACCCCTTTGGTTTACATGTAAGCCCAGAAACAGTATTTGCATTGTCCAGAAAAAAATACAAAGACAATTCTTAAAACACATTCATCTTCTGATATCATATAAATAGCATTGTAATTGCTTATCCCTATTTCCTCTATTTTTATCCTGCTAAATCTGTCTGTGGGCTAGTTAGAGAAGAAAACCAAGGCAGTGACATAGTATTAGTTTTGGAGATAGGCCACAGTATCTTAAAAGTTGGTGTGGAGAATTATCTGTATTGTATAGGGACAGACACATGGATACTGATACACTGTCTAGCATATATATCCCCTTGTTTTCCTTCTAGGTCAGGAATGGCTTTCAGAATGGTTCTGATTATTTTCTCTGCTGGTCTAGAGCTCTAAAGAAGGCTGAGATTGTGGCTGTTAAGTGTAGAAAGTTCCTCCTTCATTTTATAATCTGTATGTTATTGTGGTTTCTCTTGGCTGGGAAATTTCATTTTTATTTCTAATCTCAGCCATGTGTTGGTCAATTCTGACTTAAGTTCCCTTCACCCTCTCCCTGCTGTGCAGCTCTGCAAGTCATATTACAAACACATTTTTCAGCATGGGTGGGAGGTAGCATTGTGGTTTTGGTCTTTACTATTGATATCAGGCTTTTCCTTTTTCTTTGTTTGAAACATTTTTTTTCTTTAAAAATAGAGTTGATGGTAATCAGGGTTCATTTGGTCTGCAGGGGGAGGTGGAGTGAACATTTCCATGCAAGTTTGAATAAGAAATCACAATTTCACAATTTTTCTAATGAATTCAATGATACAGTCATCATCTCATGAAATCTTCAGCTTGATCCTTTATTTGGATTATGCAGAAGAATAGAAGTTTAAATTTTGTAGACTCCACTTGTAATTAAATATCAGTCCCATAATTTAGGGCTGCAAGCACTGTGGCTTATTGCCAGTGGAGGGAAATTGAGGAATTGTTTGATCCTCAACCAAGAAAATACTAATGTCTTCCAAAAGGACAGCTTCACAGAAAACATTCAAAAGTGTGACAAGCTGTCAGTCCTTTCCATTCCTTTCAGCACTGTTTTGTCTGTCTGCTTTGAACTGAAGGCTCCTGCCAAGTAAAGATTCACTTCTCACATAGACTTGCCTCTATCAGATTTTGAATCTGGACAAAAGGGCCCACTTAGCAATTGCAAGAACTTTTGCCATTTAGAATGCCAGAACATTTCATTTCTACTTTTCTTCCAATCACTCAGTTTTTTTCCTTTGAAAAGGGTCAGTGAAGAAGATATCAACATTCTAAACCAAAAATAAGGTTGAGCACTATAAAACTAACATTGCCACTTTGCATGTGGCAAAGGCAGCAGAATGTTGACCCTAGGTATTTATACTGATTTATTATATTAAACAGAAATATTTTACTAAATTCCAATATATATGTGTAAATAAGCTTGATGGGACTGGTTATTTTCTAAGGGTGACAGACTAATTCTGTGGCTTTACCACTTTAAGCATATGCTGTCCTTCCTGTTTTTCCAGAGTCACTGGATGTTTCAGTACATCCAACTCCCAACACCAGGAGTGGAGTCAAGGAAACTTGATGGTTTTGATACATGATACTGTTGTTTGTAATAAAGACAAACCTCTGGTATGAAATATATCAGCCCTTCTTATGCCTGGGGATGGTTTCTTGAGTTAATAACTGGCGAGTGACGCTTGGTCAGGTGTGTGGTTTCACCGGGCATTTCCACCACGGAGGTCTCGAGTCATTCGGACGCATTTCCCTCCTCTGCCTTCCTGTCCCTCCCGCCTCCTTTAGCTGTGGTGGCGGCGGGATTTGAAACAATGAAGAGTTCTGCTCAGACCGCGCTTTGTCTCGTTCCAGACTCCTCCAGCAAGGAGGCTGGAAGGGGGTCCGCAAGGAGCGGTTCCCGAGCGAAGCCAGCCTCCCGCTGGCGCTCGGGAACCGCAGGAGGGAGCGCGCTCCCCGCCCCAGATGCACCGCCCCGGGCAGAGCCCGCCCGCACCCCGCTCCCGCTTCCCATCCATCCTGCCCTGCCCGCGGAGCCAGGGCCGTTCAGCAGACCCGGAGTTCACCGCTGGCTCCTCTTCCTCAGATAGGAGATAGGACCCTGGAACTTTGTGTTCGTTGCTTATCTCCCTGCCACCAAACCCTTGGGCTGACTGTCCCTTCCGGATTTCAACATGGGTAAGGGAAGGAGACGGGCAGGTCCTCTTTAGCTATCCAGCTCCTGAGGAGTCTCTCCATTAAACATTTTTTAAAAATGTATAAGACAGGCAGGTTTGTGGGTTTTTTTCTACATGAATTTCTGGAAATGCTCATGAAACCAGTCTCTTCCCCTGACCCCCGTTTCCACAGCTGCAGCAGCACAGCAGCAGCACGAGCTGGGTACACAGCAGCCTGTAAAAGCATCATTTCTGAGGATCTAGCTCTGCTCTTCCTCCTAAGAACAAAGTTCCTCGCTTTTCAGTGTTGCACTGCAGGAGGCACTGGAAGCAGCCTGGCCTGCTGCATCCTCCACCTCTGCACCTGCCCAGCCCTGAGCTCCTGCTCTTGCCACTTCCAGTGACAGCTGCTGCCAAGACAATGTATGCACCCATCGTGACAGGCACTGAAACTCCCCACTTACTGTTTTTGAACCACATCTGCTGTAAAAGGGGCTTTCTGTTCACTGATGTTTGCAAACTGGTAAAGGGTTTCTGGAAAGGTGGTTTAAGTACCATCCAGCCCACTCCAACAGCTGGTATTTACCCATGGCATAGGCACTGTAGAAACACTGAGGCACAATCCTTCAGAAAACTGTACCCCATGTGTTTCTCAGTTGTCTGTATCATAGTACCAAATGAAACTACCAGCGTTGTTGGAGCAATACACCATTTTTAAAGCAGCACTAACTCTACTCTTCCATCCTCTGGTCAGTCACATACTACTGCAAAATAAAGCTTACCCACTTTTTACGTTTTAATTTCTTACTCTTGGCCAGTAAAACCTTCCCTGCAATATTGTCTTTTTTTTTTTTTTTAATCTTTTCTCTTTATGTGCATTGAAAAGTAATTACTTGACATGACTGATAAAACAGATAAGCTGCAGAATCAATTAACCCACTCCAGAAGGAAATAAAATGCACAGAAAACTTTTGTTCCACAGAGACATGAACAGAAGGTAGCAGGACTGGTTATATGGGACCATTTACAGTTCTCCAGAAATCAAGGATAAATTAAAACTTTCAACTAATTGCTAGGCATCTCAGCTTTACTGGTAAGTGGGATGGCAAGAGTTGGAGTTCTTTCAGAACTGGGCAGAATTCAGGTCGGGGGTATTGGCTGGGGGGAGGGGGCAAAACATGCTTTGTAGCTATTTACAAGCCCCTAGATGTCCTAGATGGTGACGAAGAAAGGTGAAAATAGTAAGAGTGGTAGGGACAGTTTGTCAACAAGTATTGCTGCACGTCATGCACAAGAGTTAATAAAATAAATTATACACCACATTTTCTTTTCAAGCAAGCTTTAAATAGTCCATATGTAACAGCATCATGTGTTACAGACAAGAAATTCTTACTGCCAAAACACAGGATGAGTGTTTTTCCCCATCGTTCTTTCCAAATTACAGACTTAGGAAAAAATATTTCAAGAAATTAGAAGACTCTAAAAATTAAGATTATGCTAGAAACCAGAAAATGCCAGTAGAATAGACTGGTGAAGTACATGAACAAATCATCAGAAGAATGTTAGTACACAGGTACTTACAAAAAAACCCATACAGGAATGGACATAAAGGCTTTTAAGACACAGATACTAAGCAGGCTAATTCAGGATCAAAGGGCAGAATGCATAGGCTTTATTATAAATTCTGTCATTCATGCATTTGTGTGTGCAGATAAAATATATTTAAAGCCATGTATTTAAATGCCATCAAGAAGACACCTGAACATCTCCCCAGCAACCCCTGTTGACTTCAGGGAAGAATTAAACCCAGTTTTGCTTATTTTTGTACACTGGCCATATCCAAACTCATAATCTGCAAAAGGGAACAAAGTATAAGAAAGAAAGCTGGTATTTTATCTGAGCCATTCAGTGACACTGGGACAAAGATCCAAACTCATTTTTTGGTAATGAATGGCCCATGAACGGAAATGTCAGCAACACCAGTCTGGACAGTTCTCAGCTGTGTTTCAGAAAGTGGCTCCAAGAAGAACGATCCAAGGATTGAGTGGGAAAAAAATAGAATTAACCCTGTAGTACATACATACATACATAGATGGCTTTTTTAGAACAAAATAAGGTAGCACAACTGAGTAAGTGGCAATATGGTGTGTGCATTAAGATATACAAGTGAAATCTGCTTGGGGCACCTTCACTCAGAGGAATAAGTCTTCTTAAAATATAATTATAATAATAATAATAATACTTCTTTATACTTGCCACTTGTTAGCAATTGTTTACATCGTAGAAAAATAGATAGTATTCTGTAACAAGAAATATAGTTACTTTGTTAAAATGGGCTATTTTAAACCAGCTACTATTCTTTCATATAAAGAATTTCTAAACAGCAAAACAAAAATAGGTAATACTGAGTGCAAAACAGCCAGTGGTATACTTTGCATTGGTTTGAAACACTAGTTGCCAGCTACTATAATTACATGTTCTGTACACTGTACTACAAAAGTCTTCCATCTTTTAGAAGCTTTTGGGTTTTTGCTTTTCTTCTCTCTAGGTGGCAAGTATTTAATCAAAGTAAGTTCAAACTCTGGAAGTCAGAAATAATTTCACAATCAGTCTTCGCTACTCTTTCACATTCCTTCCCCCACATAGTGCAGCAGCACTTTCTACTTATGGCCTTAAGTATGTTTAACTCCCTTAAGTTAAACAAAATTTAGAATGTAGATACTTAGAAGTTTAGCTTATAGGTTCACATTCTTTTAAAAATCATTTCCCTAATCTCACACGTTTACATTTACACCAATGTAACGCCTCACTTTATACATTTCACTATCCCTGCTGAAGACTGAAATACAGTTCAGATGAAAACTCTTTGCCAATGGTAGGTATTGTCTTAAATGCTACAAAGCCAGATGGTTTCAATGTCGAAGTCAGATTTTTCTGTGGTCTCCACAACAGTTTCAGATATGAATAGCTAATTCCTAGTGGCAGTGGTAAAGGCATTGTCAGTACACCATGAACATCACAAATGGAGACAACTTCCAGACATTAAAGAACAAAAACCAAACAAAAAGCACCCAGAAAAAAAAATCAGTGAAACATTCTTAGTAGAGCAGAAATCTCTCTATTCTCCTCTTCATTAATGTCACACCTTTTCAACTTTGGTGGGATCATAGGTATCTGGAGAAAAAAACAAGAAAGCACTATTAATAATGTATTGTGAAATCTATTCAATATTACCAGCTGTGGAAATGAGACAGCTTTTCCCTAGCTTTTATTTAAAAAAAAAAAAAAAAAAAGATTATAATAATGGACTTACCACCTTAAAGATAAATACCACATTCCTGACCAAAATTCTGTATTTATACCAATGTAATTTGGGAATAACTTTAATCAAATGCACGGAGATAGAATTTGGGAGGTTTTGGGTAGGTAGGAACAAGCACACTGAATGCTGAGAGATTACTTCTAGTTCTCAGATGCTTTGACAGGGAGAAAAAGACATAAGATTTGCTCCCACTTGTACTGAAAACTAAGGACCAGTAAATGCCTTAAAAATCCTAGCAGGGTGTTTAAGGCTAGCTGAAGGACTGATTATGCCACGCAGTCATCAGGGTCTTTTCATTTGATTGCAAATCCTTGGTTTCAGATTAATTTAACAGAAAATAGGAAAGCACAGCTGCACTTCATCACTGTGGCTGTCTCACTTCAGTCTGCAAAACTGCAGCTCACATTTTGAACCTTATTCACTGAAGCACTGGACTGGCTTACTGACACTCTTCTTTATTTTCAGCCTACCTCCTGTCAGTTCACAGGACATACCACACATTGGCTTTCCTTCTCCCAAATCCCTGAGGGACACTCCTCTATCAGATTTTTTTACTGGATTTATCCCAGTGTTTGCCATGAAGTCAGCAGACATGAGCCTTTTCCTTCACCCTTGTGACTCTGGAATAAGACTGCAATGAAAGGCTTTGCCTTGTGCGGTCTTCCTGCCCAGTGCCATCATGCAGGTGCCTGACTTACCCTTGGGATGCACAGTCATGGCTTGGAGGAACCACGGCTACCTACAGAGGATTCTGTAGGCGAGAGGGGCCCCGACAAACCGGCACTGCAGCCCGTGCTTACGCAACCTGAGTATCTGTGCTAACCTTAAACGTCCCTCCCGTGGGCTGTACTCCCACAGCACTCGCATTTAAACAGTTGAGCATGAAAACAGCTCCACACATAAATATCACACTTTGGAGTAAAACGTTCATCCTCAGGACTTTCATGTTGATGTGAGTGAATGTCTCCATTCAAACAAGCATAAAAACCCCCGAGGGAAATTCTTGCTTCCGTGTGCAAGTGTCCATCTGCAGCATCCAGACTCATGTCAAGGGGAGACTGACTAAGAAAGGACTTCTAGATTTGGCCCCATTGGGTGGATTCCTAGTGCAGAATCCTTTATCACTTCTCTTGCCACCCGCCTCAAATTGCTAGGCTGGTCAAGAAAGGCGTCTCTGTCAGCAACACCAATCATTTCAGAATTGTTTATCACTGCTAAGCTTCTTCTGGTATTTCCAAACAGACACCATATGAATGCAAAAAAAAAAATCAACAGGAAAAAAGTTTTTGAGGGCTAGGGCGCTCCAGGATAATGCTGCATCTTTCTAAGCTTAATGCACAGATGGTGTGGGAAGACGCTTCTAAAGCAGTAACACTTTTTCTACTGTAAATATTTTGCCATCTAAACTACTAGAACATACAAAAATTCTGAACTGTTCTGTGACAGGTTAACCTAAGAATAAAAATAAATTTACATTTCAGAAACTTGATTTTCCTAAGGCCAGACACATTCACATTATGAGAATTCCCCACAAAATTGCAGGTGCTCACTGCTTCAGGGAGTGGCGGGACAGGGGTAGGGGTGGGGAGGGAGGGATAAAATCAAGCTACAAGACGTGGAGCCTCTGGATGGCTCAGTTTATTCCCTGAAAGCTTACTCATGCTTTCAGCACCTAAACAAGGACACAAAAGTGTCAAACTGCCAGGCTATGTCATCCTTCTGAGGGGCAGAGACATTGGAGTTCTAGCACTGAAACAGAAATGTTTATTCAACATTTGGTTAAGCTCATTCGAAATGCTCTCTACAGAAACAAAGCCAGATTAGCAGCCCCATGTCTTCAAACAGCAAAGGAGAAAAGACATCCAATGCATTTGGGAACACTTCGAGATGTTCTTCTAATGGCAGTATTTGCATAGTAAGATGAGTTTCTCGCACTGAGCTTTGGCAGAGCTCTTACGCTGAGATGACTGTTCCTCTGCCAAGCTACATTATACATGTGAAAGCCTGTTTCTGCTAAGGGCTCCAGCCTCTGCGACAGGCCCAGTCTGCAATTATAACACTAACCCTACCTCATTTCAAATAGAATGGCCTTTTGGAATGGAATATTTGCTCTTTAAAAGCAATTAATATAATGATTTTCTAGGATTAATTCTCATTTGGGCTTTCAATTATACCAATGGGCTAGTCTGGGAAGCTGAAGTGAGATTTAACAGAGGAAGACACAACATCAGGCCTTTCACTAAACATGAATCTTCAGCCCTGCTCTGTTGAGATAAGGTGAAGATTTTGGGGGCATTGACAAATTAGGGTCTCTTTGAACGGGAAGAGGCCAGTGGAGGAGCTGCCTGCCGACCCCACGCAAGTGTGTTACCCTGTGGTACTGGATGTGAGCAGCAGGAAGGGAAATCCATGCCATCCAGACATGGGGAGAGCTGTTATGGCTGTGAGGGAACTGCTGCAATGGGAACACTCTGCAGAACGCAAGACCTAGCATTGTCAGCAAGAGGGATAAATTTAGACCTAATTTACTGCAGAATAACTCTCCAATAAAATGCACGCAGTCTGTTTTGATACATCCCTGAAGTCATGTCACCACAACAGATATTTTCTTCACTCCAGCAGAAACCCCAAGGGAGGAAAGCATATGAAATGCATGTGGGGCATACTAGACCTGATGGGTACAAGAAAGCTGAATTAGCCTGTTTGGAAAATCTGGTCTAGAGAAATACTGTTCAGAGTAGAAAGAGACAAAGATGTGGGATACAGAAAAAGACAAGAAGGGAAAGGCTATCAGACTGCAGGAGTCAATACTCTGAACTCATACAAGCATTTCTCTTCAGATGGAAATGTCTAAATCCAGTTTAAAGTATACTCCATTTAATTCCAGTCCCTCTGTACTGGAAAACTGTGAACAGATTTATATTGATGAGGTTTAATGAATAACTTGTACAGATTTCAAGGTAAAGTGTCAGCTGTTACAGAGAGGATGGAAAAAGGAAGGAGGAGATTAATACTAATTTAACAACTTTCACACCATACATTTGCTCACTTCAATTAATTTAATGGACTAGACAGGTGGCCTGTGAGATTTATCCCTTTACAGAGATCTATGGCAACAACTGATTTTCAGTTGTTCAACACAATGCTGTACGAAAACAGTTTCGGGGAGAGAATAGCTCGTGTTATTTTGGGGATGCATACAGACTACACAAGTTTATATGCTTTCGAGAGACAAGGAACACCAAAAAATAGGGAGAAAAAAAGTGTTCACTGAAAAAGTCAACTTTCCATTTGACTTGGGGTTAACAGTTATTCTCAACAAACTGATCTGGAAAATATTCATGAGAGAGAGAGAATTTTCCAGGCCCCTGAATGTAGCCATTTCCCAGAGGCTTCATAGAAGAACATCAGATTTTTATTTTTAGTTTCTTATGAACTATGATATAGTATGTGTCTATTTAAGTATTAGGGAGGGAAAAAATTGGCATTCAAGGAGAGGTTATGATTAAATCACCACGTGTTCCCAAACACTGGCACTAGAGTGACTGTCTTTGAACTCCACTGTTACAGCCTGACCATTCCCTGAAACAATTAGACAGAGATGAGACCTCAGGGAGCACTCCAGTCTCTGTGAATGAGTTTCAGTATCACAAGTGAGTTTTACAGTAACTATTCCTAAAATGGGATCAGAGAACACTCATCTTTTCCACAAGGAGAGCAAAGTGGGTGGCTCCCAGATGAGGGTAGTACCACCTACAGCCTGTTACTATTTGAGCAGTATACGTGGGCATAAGCAAACTGATCATGCCCGTTACATAAGAAAAGAGTATCCATCTGGATCTCCCACAATAGGGTCTTACCTAAAGAAAAATCTCTGTTGATCTTCTTCTTGTCCATTCCACCTAAACATCCATTTTCACTGAGAGAGATAACACGCTTGGAAACAGCCCCTGAGCTTGCCAGTTTGATTCCTCTCTCCTCTTGTACCTTTGACAGCTTCTCCTCATCAACCTCCTCTCCTGAGTCTGCACTCTTAATGCTCAGACGTCTCATACGGGACACAGAGTCAACTTCTTTCATCCGCACTAAGCGATCCACGGCAGTCCGGCTCGGAGGAGAGGTGAGCTTGCCTTGAAGTGTCTCTATCACCTTTGAGGTGCTTCTCACCCTCTTTTCTGAATGCTGATACACAGGTGACTTGCAAACCAAGTTTTGGTCCTCACCTTGGCTGGGACTCACAGGTTGTTCTGGAGCTTGCTCAGTTACCCGTGTTTTAGCGCTGGCTTCCTGGTGAGTGGTCTGGCAGTCATCAGGGTGTAAAGATCGTCCTCCGGCTCTGACAAAGAGAGCACTCTCTGTCCAGCCACACTTTCGTCTGCCTTCATAAGAATCCTCCTTTTTTCCTTCTTTGTCACTTACTGTGCTCTCCACTGATGATGACTCAAAGTCCTGAGCACCGTTTGCAGGGCTAGTGCCTGGGTGGGGCCCAACGTGGTCATCTGGAAGGAGAGACTCCACTGCTATATCTATACCTAAAATTCTTGCAGCTCTTGCCTGCAATGACTCATTCACGGGGATTTCCACTGCATTTGCATTTGAAGAGTGATCAGAGTTGCTAGCACCAGGTTCTGGAGCCACATCAAGTCCCACTGACCTCAAATCTGGCTCAGAGCACCCTTGGTTCCTCTTTGTTAGTGACAAATATCCTACTGAGCCTCTCTCTAATACCGTATCATTTGTGGGAGTTGCACCTTTGCTCAGTTTAACAAAGTCTAGATAATTTTGGTCTTCACTCATCTCCTGCAAGACAGGGTTATTGAAAGGATTACTGTGACATGAACTGCTTGAGCTACTGGACAAAGCTCTCTTGACAGGGCCAACATGAACTGGCTGTTTGCTCATTTTGCTCTTGGCTTCCCCTGTCCCCATTTCTGTTATCAGACTTCCATCTGCTGGCCTGACTCCTTCACTGCTCCCTCCTGGCTGCAAGGAGCGTTTAGAGCCAAGACAGCCTGGCTCGACACCATCCTCTGTCCCCATACTCCAACTTTCGGACTTACTTTTAACTCTTCCTGACCTAAATACAGGCACCTCTGGCACAACCATTTCTGATTTCCCACCACGTTTTGGCTCCTCGTTTGATTTCTCATTTCTGGATGTCCTCCTCTTCATGAGGGCACCTGCCTGCAAAGAAGTTGCAGCACTTTCCAAGTCTTCTTCACTGCTTGTGCTCTCCTCCTGCCCTTGCAGCTCCTTGTTAAAACTTTCTAGCTCACTTATTGCATCCCACGGACGACGACTTACAGGTTTCAATAGGAACTGCCCAAACAGCTCTTTACTGTTGCAGGGAGCACCTGGTTCTCCCTTAACTATATCTCCCTTGGAAAGAAGGCCATTTTCCCTCTCCTGGGCAGGCACAGGCTGGCTGTGGTGGGCTTTTGGGGAGGGGGCCTGAAGGACTGAGGTGGCAGTCCTGGAAAATGCACTGTTGCTAGACTGGCTGAGGTACATCTGACCCTTCATACCATAACTGCTCTGCCTGCAGTCTCTCTCTTCAGAAGGTGACCCTGTCTGTTTTGCCCCTATCATGGATGCTGTACTTCCCAGGCGTTTTGGAGACAGCTGATTGCTACTATCAAGCTGCCCAGGCTTTGTACCATGTAAAAATTGTGGGCTTTCAGGTTCTTCACTGAAACTGGTCTGTGTCTGCTGGTCTTTGTACTGATCACCTGGCCAGGAGCCAGAATATTTGAGCTCTCTGTGTTTTGTAGGCTGAATAAACCTGAGGTCATTCATTTGTTTGAACTCTTCTGGTCTCCACAGCTCTTGTTTTTGTAACTCATTTTTATTGGTCATGCTTCCTGTAAGCGCTTGTAACTCCAAGTCCGTTGAAGACATACTTAAGAGACTTTGTTCTTGCAAAGCCCCATTGTTATCAAACCCATTCTTATCAGGACCCTGGGTTATGTTGTTGTTCCTATCTGTATCTGGCAGATTGGATTCTGATTTAATTGGGATAGAGACCAAACAAAATATAGTTTCATTCATTTTTTTCTTTGAACTCTTTTTGCTCTGCATCCCCGTTCCAGGTTCAAACTTTTTCACTTTTGTAACAGTCTCACAGGTGCTGTCCATATGTGAATTTCTTACAGAAAGTTTGCCTTTCACATACTCTGTGCTGGTTTCGTTACGGGGGCTGTGATTAGTTGAACTACAACTGTCTCTTTGGTCCGGCAAGGCACAATTTTCCTGATCTCGGAGGGATGGTGCCAACCATCTGTTGCTATGGGTGGAGCTGTAGGAAGTTCTTTCTCCCTTTGCAGAACTGGACAAGTTTGATGCATCCACAAAGGCACTGTTGTACTGTACTTCAAGATTTCTCTCTTGCAAAGCACCAGAACTGGGACTACACGCATTTTCTGTGTATTTAGCGTTGTCCTGCAGACCTTCCAGTGGTGCAATTTTAATATGTCGTATCCGAGGATCATCAAAGGGAATGTACTGGACAGAACGCAGGTGGTCAGCAGGGCGCCTTGCATGGCTTTGCTTCCCATGAGGAAAAGGGTTGTCTTTGCAAGGGTCACCTACCACCTCAAAAGTATTCATGGCTGGTCGCTGGCAGGGTACGACCCGCTCTGCAGCACCCTGTGGATTGCTGCTGGTGCACGTGTCGGTTTTAGGCACTTCACTGGGGGAACGTGGGGGCATGGTTTGGTGAGGTGGGGATTTGTAAGAAGGAGGAGGTACGTACACTGGGGGCTCCAAACCAGAGTCTGGAACGGAAACATCTTGCCTTGGCTCATTAACTTTGGCTAAGTAGGAGGTGGGTTCATCTTTCTGGTAGTGGTCCTGGAAACCCACGGTTTCTGCAGGTGCCCTAGTCTGCCGCTGTGTTTCGTAGGATGGAGGCTTGAGAGGTCTCCCATACTTGGGTTTCACCAGGGGAAGGAAATGGCCTCCTGTTCCATGGTGCTTGGCTGGTTCCACACTCAGTCTGTTTGGGGAATAGGAGGGAGTTTTAGTTACACTGAGCGAGTTGTTACTGTTGGTTAAGGAGGGCATTTCCACGCACCTCATGCTCTCAGGTGAAAGGACCCTCGGCAATGACTGTGATTTCCCCTTGCTGTGGGTGCTGAGTACGCTGTCTCCCAGGGTCAGTGAATAGAGTTCTTGGAGTAGCTTCTCCCTGTCACCCTCGGACATTTGCCTCCCTACCTTTTTTGGCTGGTTCCAGCTTTCCATTCCCAGATTTTGCCATTTGCAGTCGCTGGGCACTTCACAGCTCTCCTGAAAGCCGCTTCTTCTGACATGTCCTGCGCCTGTCCCTACCTTCAGCTGATTCTCCTTGGGGTGCCGGGCTGCCCCCGGGGCTGCAGCCAGGCTTTTCATTTCCACGCTGGCTTTCTGGGAATAGCCTAGTAGTACACTGAAGTCCTGTCCTCGTCTTCTCCAGTAGGCAAGATCTTTATCAGTCTTGGGCTGGGAAGATCGTGCTAAATGAGGCCTGTCACAAACCCTGAAAAGAAAAACACAGCATCAGAGGCAGCACGCACAGATGCCCTTTCTTTCTCATATGGATAAGGCCACTAGGAGGTCAAATGATGAGTTATGCCAATGGGGTTTGTGTAATCTATTTGCAACCAGGTGACTATGATTTTAATGAGAGGATTTAAAAGTCAGTCATTAACATCAGTAAAGGAAGGGACAGAAGCTCTTTTGACATGTTATTAGCTATGCAAAGCTGTTAGAAAGAAAGAAAGGCAAACGCACACAGTTACCTGCTGTGCTAACATGCATAGTCCTCCTTGATGGACACTAGAAAACTGTTCCTGCCCACAGCAGGGGGTTTGGAACTAGATGATCTTGAAGGTTCCTTCCAACCCAGGCCATTCTCTGATTCTCTGATTCCATTCTAAAACCAGAAATTACTGTCTTGAACTTACTTCTGCACCCCAATAAATCAAAATCTATAGATGTCAAGAAGACTACTGTGGTATGCAAGCACGCTTGCAGCAAGCGTGGGTAGAGCCCTTCTCAAATCTTCGTTCGCGAAGCCTAGCCATGATGCAGGTAGCACAGGTAGGGAGAACAGGTAGATAGCTATTTTGTAAGATTTAAGATACGTTCTGTCAGCAACATGATTTGCATCCTAGTATAAGTGCTGAAATTAAACATGTCATTTCCAGAATTGATTCTAGTTCATCTTTCAAAGGGAACAAAATTCTTCAAAGTGCTTTGGATTAATGACATGTCACAACAATAGTGATGTATCAATATGGTTCTGAATAAGATGGAACCAAAATTTAAAATGTAAAATACATCAGAAGATGTATAATTTTTTAAAATAAAATAGGGATTACCTCTTTTGCTTGAAAGGTGGAAAACAGTGGACATTTTATTGCAGATTAGAAATTCAGAACACAGATTTACATGAACAGAATAGGTTCTTTGTGTGTTCAGAACAGAGTGTAAGCTGTTTTATACATTACTGCAGAACTAAATTGGTACCCTTCTATATAAATAATTAATTTTCTACCTGAATTGCATTCTGCTATTCTTGTACCTAAGGTGTCCAACAATATAACTGCCTTTACACTATGTGGCTGCCACCAGCATAAGACTGGAAAGAAAAATCAAAATTGACAGAAATAGGACAAGTATGTAGTTAGAACTCAAGAATTTCTTTCTTTTCTCTTCACCCCAAGGTATATAAACAGTGTCATCTGGCTCTTTTTACTAAAAACAATGATCTATTTAAATAGGAGATCGTGAAGACATAATACAAGTTGAAATTCAGAATGAAAATTAAGCCATCCAGATCCACAGCAATTTTTCTGAATGCATATTAAGTTCATCCTGTGAGTCTAAAAGTTTTAAAACCAAACTGTGATAAGGAGCATCTTGTTCCTATTAATTCAACTGGATTAAGACTGAACATCTGAACAAAATGTTCTGCTGCTGAAGCACGAAATACAGTTTGATTGCTGAACCCCATGAAGAAACAGACGTCTTCATTAATCAGTGAGATATGACAGGACACCTCCTATATCGAAGAGCTGATTGCAGTAACAATGAACATTTTCATGTGGAAACATACAGCTGGACTAATGCTGTCTCCTACCTTTTCATCTCACCCCCATACTGCTGTGGCACCATTTGTAGTTTACAAAATGAGGTGAGAAACAGGGTCTAGCAATAGTGAGGAGGGAAGGGAGAGGCTGCTCTTTCTGTTTGATTTCATCCATCATCATAAAAGGGTCTACAGAAACTGCAGGAAGTACACAGTCATAGATTCCAAGATCAGAAGAGACCATTACAATTATTTAGTTTGACATCTTGCTCAGTGCAGGCCATCAGACTTCTCTGAAATGATTCCTGCTTCAGTGCTATCATCTCTTAGAAAAGCATCTAAAAATCTTGATTTTTAAATTTCCAGAGATGTTGCTGCAAAGCTTAATTCACCATTTAAAAAAACCCAACAAAGTAAACCCAAATTCTTATCAACAGGATATACATACCAACAGCTTATTAAAAGCTGTTTAAAAGATTAAATTTATTTTTAAAGGTTAATAAGTATGCTCCAGTGATGAACTTCAGAACATGATACAAACCACCATGTACCCTGTACGATGTCATCATTGCAACACAAATGTAGAAAAGACATTTAAGAGACAGTATTTAGAGCATTTTAAACCTGATCTTTTCTAAGATCTATTCAAAGGGCAGACACTATCAGCCTCTCTAGCTCCTGGCTAAGGCACTAGAAATGGTTAAACAGACAGTCTCTACCAGGGACCCAATAAATCTCTGGAAAAGATGAGACTGCACTGCACAGTGGGAAGGTAATGCTTCAAGGACCCTCCACTTTAGCTCCATCCTCTGCTCCCAGTGTTGGGAGAGCAGCTCCTTCACACCTGCATGCAGAGGGAGCAGACAGGCAGGAGGAAGTGGGGTAGCACAGCATGACCACAGATTGTGGCCTCAAATGCAGCAGAGAGTGCCCCCTTCCAGGACATGTAACACTTCTGGGTCTTGCAGTCAGAGAAGAGGTGGAAGGAGAAGCTTCCAAGAGCCACTCCAAGTTCAATATGCTTCACTACAGTCTCAGCAATGCTACATTTCTGGATGGCGAGTACTGGACATGGTGTGGTCTTTGCGACCATGACATATTATCAGTGAAAAGACCACACAGTCCCTCTTAGCAGCAGCTCGTCTCTGACTGTGCCTCTACCCAGTTCAGTCTCTCCATGATGTGCTGGTACTGATGCACAGAGAAATGCACACCCGGACACAGCAGCCTGCAGATGCCTCACAGCTGGGAGAGGTGCCAAGGATGGAACAGTCCCATGGGACCATCTGTGGAGATTTGTCAAGGACAGAGTGGTCCCACGGGACCAAGGAGGTGGATTTTAATAGTATGAACTCTTTCCTAACTGGCCTGCTTCTAATGAATAGTACATTTGCTGTCAAAGTGCTCTGAATTGATTCTACATAAAATTAATCTAATTAAAACTGTGTAAAACCCCCAAACTATTTGTAGCTTTCTATGAATTTTAGCCCTTTACAAGAAGTGAAGCCATCAGTCCACCCTGCACTGGTTGCATGACTGCATTTCACTGAGCTGTCATGCTCAGAGCAGTGGGTTGAAGCTTCCCAGTTCCCTAAGGTGACACTGGACCAGCAGGACCTCACGTGATGCAGAAAATGGGGTCAAAAGTGCAGGAGTGTGGCACAGGCCTCTCAGTCCAAACCCTGCAGATTGAGGTCAATGCAGGGGTATCTACAGAGTGTCTGTCCCTGTTACTGGCTGCCAGCATGCAAGCAGTAGGTGTTGGGCACCCACTACCTAACCCTGCCTGAGCTGCAGGCACTGGCACAAACTTTGTGCCCAACAAAGAGGCACCGTTAGAAAGGCAGGAAGGTAGAAAAATTTTCAGAGGGCTTTTCTTGACACTGACAGCTTCTGTTCTATTTTGGGATCCTCTCCTCACATACACTTTTCTGAGACCCAGCATTGGGGAACACCAGTACACTTTTCTAATTTTTCCAGAAAGTAATCTCATAACTACATGATCTATTTATCTCTAAATTTGCTACCTACCAACATAAGTCCTCCCACACAAACAGCTAAGCAAAGTGCCTCTTCTCTCCATGCAGAAAAGAATCAGCAGGGAGTCCTCCTTCTGTGAACCCTCTCCTCTCCTCTCCACCCAGAAAGGGTCAGCTTTCCCATTTTCTTTGACTTGTCTCCTCTTCCAAACCTTTACTGTGTGGACTCTGAATGCTCAGTTAAGCAAGGACAGCCAGGACAGCCTTCCCACCATCTGCTCCCTCACGCTTTGCCTGAAGAACAACAGAATAGAGCAAAACTCCACTACCCCACTCCACCAGGGCTTCATCCCCCATCATATGAAGCAGGACCAGCGAGTGGTGTGATGTGTCCACACGCAGCTGCTATGAAGCCTCTTTCCTCCTCAGCAAGCTTTAATTAGCAGAACAACCTTAATAAGCAGAGACAACAGCATCACGCCCTGACATCACAAAACACCCCAAGCCTTGCAAACCTGCCTGCAAAGGCAGCCACGAGGCTGGCAACGTCACTCACTTCTGTGGTATACGGGAGGTGATCAGCTCTTCTATACCAGTGGTGTAAACAACAGTGTGATGTACATAATTCCCTGGGCCAGGTGCCTGAGCCATGCTCTGAGTTGCTGTGGAGCTGGTCACCGTCTGTGGAGGTAGCTGGGACACACCCACACCACCTGTTCAGGCCTTCTCCTGCTACTGTGCTGACTGGGAAAGCAGCACCAGCCTGTAATGCCCAAAGAGTATCTTGCTGGGTGGTCATACCCCCTTCGGGCCCAAACGGTCCCCAGGTCTCTGCAGTGTGCAGTTCTTTGCCAGCCTGAGAACCAGAAGCCTATTTCCCACAACAGTCAAGAAACCAGGCAGCAATATCAAAATATTTGGTGGAGTCCACAGGCTCAAACACACGAGAAATATCTCCTCGTCAGTTTTAAAGCAGCTCACACTCACATGGCAGCCCTATGCCTCAGGTGCAGGGGAGTGAGTCTGGAGGGGGACTGTCACCCTGGAACTCAAGAGCTGACACACAGGTGCCACAGTGCTGCAGATTCCCTGGATCTGGCTCAGGGAGCTTGCTCCTCCCTTCCTGGACCAGCAGGGCCCCGGCTGTGTCACGCTCCGCAATGGAGGCAGTCCACAAACTCAGGCATGGAAAGGAAGCAATGCCTGATATAAAGGTCTTCCCAGATGCTAGTGCCTTGCAAGGGTTCCCAGTAGGCTCACTGGGAAGCAGACTTTGCTGTAACAGTGGTACCAAGAAAATATTTCTGTTTTTATGAAAGCATGACAAAGCCATTTCCAGGGCTGTGTTTCCTATTTTATGTGGAAAAGCCACTTTTAAAAGCCAGGATATAATATTTAACTATCCTGTAGACTGACAGGTTCCACCCCTTGCATTTTGAGGTATTAGAAACAGACCAGCTTCCTCAGCATCACTGCACACTCTCTCATCCTGCTTCAAAACCTTTTTCCCTTTCATTCTTTTGCAGTATCTTCCCTCACTTTTTTTGCCATCCAGTTTACTTCATCCAAAACACACCTGGAAGGATCCTCCTTATTACCTTTAAACCTGTGTCCTCTCCTTCCTTCTTTAGAATGGATGGTTCCACCTGCAAACCTTCACCTCAGCTGAGACTTGCTGCCCTACAACTGCTTTACAGGGTTCACATCTCTTCCTGCCTATTATCCTAACTGGCAACCAGCAGCCATTCCTGCTCCAGGCAAACAGGCTTGCAAGGGGAAGATATATGAAGGGAAAGAGCAGACAAGCCCAGCAGTGAGGGGACACATGGCTTTGCCACATGTTACTGAAGGACATTGTAAGAGGATAAGCTCCCAAGGTGACAGTGTTTTGCCCTGCTTTCAGTTTCAAGCCCACTCGGCAGGAGGAAGGGGCTTTTCCTTGTAAACCATCGTCATACTTGGGCTGGCTTCCAGTCCTGCTCGAGCCCCTTTCCTTTGTTCATCTGCAGCACTCAAATAGCTGCAGAACAATGGCCAAGCAGCGGTGTGTACACACAGCTCTTCCTGCCCAGCCGGCCCCAGCCCCGGTGTGCACGTACTCTGTGTTGAGCAACCACGGTTGTACAAACTCGTTTTATGGCATGACGACAAGAGGCTTCCACTGGCTTGGGCACGTTTTAAAAAGAAGTGCACAGGCACCTTCTCATGCTTACTCCATTAAAGCCACCTGAGGAAAACAAGAAAGTCCTCAGTGCATATAGGAACACCCACCAGAAGTGGGTGTGTTGCACCCACCACGCTGCACATGGCTGAATCTGCAACAAAAACTGGGGTGTGTATGTGGCAGGAGAAGTTGAGTTCAGTTTTTTAAAACTGAAGAAAATTAACTTTTCCCCCTACTTTTCCCTATACTAGGACTGAGCTTTCCTAAGCCCGTCAGAAAGGCACTTCTGATACAGACCACATAATTAAATCAAATTTTCCCACATGCAGCCACTTCCCATCATTCCTGTATTCCCAAAGGCCTCTCTCTAGTAGAAGGTGAATGGATGCCACTGCTTCAGGTGGACATCCAGTGCACAAAAATGGTCACTGGGATGGGAGCAGGAAAGGATCACAGTAAGATGGTGTTAAGGGTTAGATTTGTGATTAGTTATCTGTCAGGACCAAAAGAAAGAGAAAGCAAAGCCATGGCATGATGCTGAAACTTACCCCCCTTCTGAAGTATGAAAAGAGGACAAACCCTGAAGGTCATGGTGGTAACCAGGACCTGCTTGCCTCCCTTGGCTCCCATGGCTGCTTTCAGTGCTGCTCGAGTTGGTTTTCACCAGAGGTTTCTTGCTGTAGGCCCCAGCTCTGGATTCTGCCTCAAACCCGTTCAGTGCTGACCTCTGAGCAGATCTCTTCCCCGTGACTTCGTGCCGGTATCCATCATACCTGTTCTCATATGAAACAGGGGGATTTTTTGACAATTTGTATCCATGAGAAATCAGGAGGTCCTCGACACTGAACATGTTGTGCTGGTTTCACTCACAGCTGTGCCATCAGAAAGCTCTTTCCAGCTGGACCCATTACTAGAAAACAAAACCAAAAATAAACAGAAGGCTTTAAACAAGGAAAGACAGACCGCTTGAAACAAGGAAAGATATCTTTGATCAGCTGGTAGGCTACTGAAGCTAAAAGTCTCATCCCCTGGACTGGGTTTTCCACTCTCTTAATAAAATAGATGAAGCAAAGTGCATGCAGATGCTGATGAATCATGTGATGGCCTTCCCTAGACAATACATCTCCTTGCACTCAGCCAAGCAGCAGATGCTGCGCTGCTGCTGCTGACTCAGTCCCTTTCACTCAAGAATTCACTGGTGATTGCAGCTTTCAGATTTCACTAATGTGATCTCAAAAAGATCTTTGCACTGAAGGTAAGCCCACAACTTGAGCAGGCATTTCCTTAGAAAACTATTTTTCTCCAGTCATGGAGAGGCGTGTTCTATATTGTGTTTTAAGTTGCTGTAGGACGAGGGGGTGGATTACAGGGCAATATGCCTCTCCCTACAGCTCTGCATATTCCAATTAAAAAAAAGAAGTTCACATGAACAAGGACGAAATATACATAAGAACAAAACTGAATTATGCAACCACATGAGAAGCCCAGGTAATATCATGCAATACCCCAGCTAAACAGTCTTTTTACAGCTTACTCTGTTCTCCCTGCATTGGCCCACTGGAAATTTGCAGTCCTCAGCTAGAATAACACAAAACCTAAGATTTTTAAGATGTTGTTTTTACAGCACATTTCCACTGAGTAACACGACTGGAAACAACCTGCAATGGCCATGTCTATCGTGTCTCAATGATTTCCAAGACACGGGATGGTCAAGATTTTTCTTGCCCAGTGACAGCCCTCCATTCTGCACTCACTAGAGCAAAGATCCAGCAAACTGAATTAGTTGGCTGGAAACAATCTCTATTGTCTATACCATTCTCACAGGTTATTATGGCAATTACAGAACACCCAGTCTTCCCGAGTTTTAAAGCGAGTGGAATGTAACGTTCTGTTCTGTAGGTTCTGCAAAACAATGGTCCTGCTCTGATACATTCCTCCTTGTTTGAACTGTCACCAGAAGAAAGAAATATAAAAAAGGTGGATAAAGAGGTAAAACACACAGAAATAAATTTGTTATGTAAAATATAAAACTCTAGATGATTTTCCATGCATGAGGAGCTCATTTAACATGCCTAGTGAGTACTGTGTGTCCTCAGTAGTAGCAGGTCCACCGGAGAATCATGAGCCCAGCACTGGCAGCTGCTCAAAAGGAGATGACTGTCTCTGCAAAGATCATGACAAGCAAGTACGTTTTATACACTGGTCTCTAATTGCTCCTTGGGCATGCAAAAAGGGAGAAGTCTGGTCACTGCTGTTGACAATGATTTCCTTGAAGTGGAGCAACTACTGAGATAGATGCTGTGTGTTTATTAGTACCAAATCTCCCAGGCTACGTATACACAGAAGTGGATTGGTTGGCTTACTATATAAACCAGTTTCTGTGCTGCAGCCCCCTATATACTATGGCCACTTTTTGCCTATCCAGCACCTCACCCATTTTCTGTGCTGCCTTGTCTCCTGAGTGCTCTGCAGGCTACAGAGCTGTTCTGGCCAGCAGCTCTGGGTCAGCCTGGTGTGCGGCTCCTGGGCATGCAGGGACCTCCAGCCACATCTGCCCTGCGCTGCCCACAGTGGCCACAGCACTTGCCCAGGGAGAGCCCACAGTGTGGAAAAACAGACAGAATTTTTATGCAGAGCCACAACTTAACTGGTAACCTGGAATGCTGCAGAAGTGGCTTTTCAGTCTGAGAGTCTGCTGAGCACTTAAACCGGTTTGCCTCTAGAGCTTAATGAATCTCTTCCCTTTTCACACATGTAACACTACACACCCTTTAAAAACAGAGAAATAAAGCTCTGTGCTGAAGATATTTTAGGAGTAGCCCTTGCTAGAACAGGACTCCAAATTCCCAGTAAGAGCTCTGAGTAGGCGAGCCAGCAGTAAGTACAAGCAGACAGAAAGCAAGGAGGATTGGGACCCTTTCCTCGTGGAAGGAAGGGAAGGCTTTGTGGGTTATTTTTGAATGCTGACCTAAAAAGCTGATTTTCCATCCACCCTCTGCCTGGACCGTGCAAGGAGCCAGGTATGAGCAGAGCAAAGGGAACAGCTGGCTGCTAGAGCTGTTCAGCTTCTAAGGAGAGTAAGATCCAATGTGACTACCATAAACAGCAGAAAGCCCATCAAAGCGCTCACAGGTGCAAGGAAGAAATGTGCTTTTCCTGCTATTATCAGGCTGGCTTGGAGCAGAGCTTAACCCCCTCTCTGCTGCCACTGCAGCCATGGTGGCATCAGAGAGGCAAAGATGAGTGGGTGAGAAACCTCCAGCCCGTAGGGTTTACTCTGATCCTCCTCCTGGCATCAGCAGTGAGGGACAACGAGTGGAAATGCACCATGAGGAACTGGTGCAACTGTCTCCTCCTGCTCTGCAAACTTATCACATGTGGAAGGGAAAACCCCACGGTGCTACGGGTGGTGGGGAGGCCCATCTGGGAGCAGGATGCTGTCACTGTGCCCATCACAACACTGCAATGGGAACAACCAAGGGGGTGAAGCCCGCGCCGCTCTGCCTGCCATGGTGCCCTTGGCACCAATCCCCAGACGAGCTCTAATCAGACTCACCACATGTAAAAATGCTCATGGTAAAAGCTCTGAAGAGCCAGTAGCAGTGGTGGCAGGTGGCTACTAGCCAGGACACTGGTAGGGCACATGCCTTGAAGGGCTGTGCAGAAGTTGTGGGGAGGTGGCATGCCCTGCATTGGACCTGGTTTGGGGGTAGGGAAGCCGGAGGTCCTGCCTGATCAAAGCTTGCAGGACATCAACCATGTCAGCACCAGCATCTGCAAGGATGCTGGCCAGCTTTCCAAATCTGGCTTCAGTGCTGGGACACTCACCCCACCCTCCCTTAAGATAAATAAATCTAAAAAATAAAATCAAAGGAATTGGATTGGCAGGAGTAACAAAACCATTGCTGCTGCACTGTCATGTAAATAATCTGTCAGACTGGGCCGCAGAGTAGAGGCTGTGCAGAGCTTCTAATTTGAGGGAAGATCAACAAGGCTGGAAAACAGTTTGTTTTTCCAGTGCTCATTTGTTTTGTTTGCCAATGACATCAGTGCTTTCTGATAGGGTTTGCTTCCTGAGGATGCCTGCTATCTTGCCAGCGTTTCCGACTTGTCCCCGGCAGCCGGTACAACTCTGCATTACATTAGAAACAGGGGCCAAGTTTTTCTCTGGAAACTGCTCAGCAGCACTCTCAGATGCAAAGAAACAAGCGTGAATGGCGGAAATCAGCATCAGCCCCCGTGCAGGCAGACACAATGGGGACCCACAGCCTCAGCGAGCGGGACACAATGGGACCACCAGATGGAAACGTCATCAGAGCACTTCGTCTTGGGGTGCTCCATCCAAGAGCGAGGATCTCATCGCTGGCACCGAGAAAAGCCCAAAGCACTCCTGAAAAACACCCTGAAGAAGTCTGGTGCTAGAGTTTCCTCAGAGCTGCTTTTGGAGCTCATTCTCAGTGGGGGAAACACACAGGTTACTAATGATAACCTGCCTTGGTTTGTAGTTCTTTTCAGTGGCAGGGGTTCCCAAGCCTTACTATTTTGGGGGGGTTCCACCATCTGTATGATGACCAGTGCTAGCAGTTCTTACCTCCATGCTCTGAAATGGCTCGCATGCTGTTGAACCCTCCCTTCACAGTGTTCCAAACAGCCCATTGGCAGGCTCCTTCCTTTAGCCCAAGTTCCAGAGAGCATCCTGGCACAGTAGCCACATACTGGTCTGGGAGACCAGAAGTGACAGAAAATCTGGCCCTGGCTGCCCTCGGTAACATCTCTTCCACTCTCTGCTACTTGATTTTTTTTTTTTTTTTATAGAAAAGAGAACACAGAAGGAACATGATTCATATTGCAAAATTATGCCTACAGTATCAAGAATTGCCAAAATCAAGGCACCCCGCATGGACACACAATTTGCTGCAGTCTGTAATTACATGACTTGAGGCTACTGAATTCTGCAGGACTCCTGCCCTGGTTGATGTGCAGACTAGGTGATGCTAGTCCTCTCAGGTTTTATCTACAGCAGTTATCCAAACACTGTTCTGAAGACAGAGTTACTAACAGGCATCTAAATTACAAAGCGCATTATCTAGATGGGTCACACATTAAACTAGCTTATCTTCACTCACGTCTGGGTGACATTATTCCCATTTCATATCAGACATGTGCCAGACAGAAGTATTTATACAGACAGACTAAAGTGAAAACAATTGCATCCATTCTAGGCACTCTGTCTGATGTGCCTACAACCTGATTTTTAAAAGACTTAGCTTTAAAAGTGAACTAGGTACGTTCAAAACAACTGCTGCAAGAACCTAGTAGCTCTGCACATCGACCCGTGTGGCAAATCAGCTGTCCACATAATAAAACATGGGATAAGCCAAAAAATTGGTTACAGTAATTTGTCTACTGTGCCTTCCCCTATTCCTCTGCCCATCTAATCCACACCAACAGTTTTGTCCAGGAAGCCCAGTATCCCCCCCCACCCTGTTAACTCTTCACCACCGTATACCCTAGTGCTTTAATTTCCCACTGTCCATCTGTCCCTCTTGCCATCCCTCCCGCATCCCTTCCCTGCCTTCCTGTCTTCTGGTTCCACCAGTTCAGTCACACTTCCCACACAGCCCACCACTGTGTTAGCCAGCCCATTCCACTCTCCTGCATCCCTTACAGCTTCTCCTGGCCAGTCCTCTGTTTGCATTCATCAGCCCATATTCTTCCTTTCCCTCCTGTTGTACACCTTCTGTCCTGTCTACATTTCCAGCAGAATTACCTCTGGGCTGGCTCTCTGCTCCCAGACTCGAGATCCCCTCTCGCCTGTACCTGCAAGAAGCAAGAGCCATCTTTACAGGGATAATCCCCCCACAGCAGCACATGCTCTGCTGGCACATCCCTTGCAGCAGTTTATGGCAC